GTAGAGGAGAAGGTGTAAAAATGGGCACAGGTGTAAATATGGGCACCCCTCCCTAGTAGCTATGGGAGGTACTGAAGACTGGCGGCAAGGACTGTATATGGCGCCAGTTGCTAATATAAGATTGTACAGAGCAGTTGAAACCATTTTTTCAAGTAGTGTGGATGCAGCGTGAGTTATTGTGCAAATTGGTGTTTATTCTGGACTGCAAACTTTTGAGAGGTATGTGAAATCGTTTTCTTTTCATGTACTTATGTTCAGTTAAAAATAATTTGACAGTGATATCCGGAAAGCGGAGATCTTAAGCTATTTTTTGAAGCACACCTTTAGTCACGCACGCTTTTAGGTTACTTGTGATAGTGGCCATCCTTCTTAGGTGGGGTTGGTGTAAATATGGGCCCCCATTTAAAGGGTGCCCATAATTACACCAACTTTTTTTAGTGGAGTTTAGCGCATCAGGCTCTAGTTATGCCAATTGATAAGGCAGCTGAAATACCTCAATGTTCCCCGGGAACTTCAAGTGCAATTTCTCCGTTCGACATATCTCCTGTTCCCAACATTAAGAAGATAACCAATATATATATATATATATATATATATATAATGGTACACTTTATTCATGGTACACACTATGCATACGTATACATTTTATAGTAAATTAACATATCCAGTTTATTTTTCTCTCAAAGTTTGGGCACGTAGATGGCTCAGAAATCCGTTTATATTTTTTCTATTTGCTTTATTGACTTAAAATTAATTGGAATAAATAAATTCTGAAATACTAAATTTTTTTTTATCTTTTTACAAAAACAAATGAAAACATAAATTGCTTAATGGTCATTATTTCATTTATATCATGTCTTGTCCTCCTACAGTTTCCACATAATTCGTGAAATACATCCAAAACTGTCAAATCCTTCAAGTCACTGATATGAGAAAAAAAAATCTGCCTACTTTTTCTGAATTTAAATTTTTAAAAGTTTTGTGGCGGCGATCAAAACGAGTTTTGTTTGAAGTCTTTTTGGATTATTATTTAACATTTATAAAATACTTATTGATTCAGTGAACTCCTTCAAAAATAATTTAAGAAAAAAAAGAGATCAAAGACCTAATAAAGAGTACCCGATTTTGTTTTCATTTTGTTTCGAATAACTATTGACTTATCTGTGAAATGAAAATTACTCATTGCTCCTAAAGTAGTTAATAAAAAATTTTAATTTTAAACCCATTCTTGCATGCGTAGGATTTTAATTGAATTTTTTTACGAGTTAACATAAAATGTAGGTCAAGTATTAAGGAGATAAGTTTAATCTAATGAAATGGATGACGGCTTATAAAAAAAAATTTCCATTATACATTTCCATAATGCCATTTAAATTTCGAAAGTGTATTTACTAAGCACAGTGTTAAGCATTATATAAACACTTCAAAGATATGGTGGTAATTGTGTAATTAAATAGATTAAAGAACTATTTAAATGCCGTGTTTAATTAATAATATGACAATAAGAAAAATTCATTTATCTGACAAAGCATTTTTAATTAGATTTTTAATCACGTGCAAGTCACGTAATTGCCTTGAATTAAATGTAATAATAAGGATAAAAATTGGATTATCATAGCCAACTAACAGCACTTTTGGCGAAAAATAATTAAGTTAAATATATCATCGTATAAAATTTCAACTTCATTTTAATCAACGTATGAAGTTTCAATATAAATATATTCTCTGCCATGCACTCATTATAACAATTGAATTGCTGCTATATTGAATTGCTAACTGACAATTTAAACATGAACTGGTAATTGTTTTTAGATGGAATATTTATAAAATGAGAAGAAAAAGCACTATTTGATTAGTTAAAATTAAGCGGCTTCTCCTATTTAGCAAATTTTAAAACGTTAAATCTTGTTTACTATTTCAGTGGTCGATTAAAGTTTGAACTGCGTACATTAACTAATACTAAGTGGCTAGTTTTATCTTTTATTTACAAAGTATGATCTAGAATGAACGAACGAGGCACCTTGGCCAGAGGATCCCACATTTCTGAAAACCCTATAGCAATATCAGAACAAAAATTAGCAGTTGAAATGTTATCTAGCTCAAAAAATGTTCACTTAAAAATTTGAATTTTAATGCCCCAACAAGATATTTCGCTTAGAGCTTTCCATTTCATATAATCAGGTTCTAGTTATCCAACACTTTTGTTTTGATAAAAGAATTATATCTTTTTGGTACCAGATTTAAATATAAATTTCTAAATTGAGTTTTCTAGTTCTGTTTCAACCTTTTGTTTCTTGAATTTTCCAAGATCGACTTATCGATATTTATATGCTTCGATATGTACTGTATTCTCTGTCTGTTCTGTTACTTTTGCTGTTCTGCAATTTTACTGTTCTGTTTTTAAGAGTTACGTTAAATTTTTTTCTGAAAATAGCGCTACAAAATGTTAGTATTAATATTGTTTTTCTACATTATTCGTATTTCATTGCTCTCATAGTTCTATTCTCGCAATTAATTTTCAAGATCCTATGTAAAAAAATTGAATTCGAGTTTTTCCTCCAATTGCGTTTCGTGGTTCAATAAAACTGAGTAAAAAACAGCTTCTTTTGCTGAGAAGCATGCAGGTAAAGAAGTTACGAGAACAGTCCAGTGGTCGGACGTGAAAATACTTTTTGATTTAATTTTCTTTCAAACTGTTTTATTAGTTTTAAATTACTTATTAATTTATGTGACAAAAATTTACATAATTACACAATCTCAAGGTATCAAATTAACACAGGCAACAAATTTAGTTTCAGACATCAAATGCAAACTCAGAATCGAAGCTTTTCACACGTTTCCCGATTTGAGTAACAAAGAATAATCGTTTTTCGTCGTTGGAAACATGCTGAGGTCAGACTGAAGGACAGCTCTGTGGTCAGAAGTAAAAATACTCTTTGATTTATTCTTAACTTTCAAATGTTCAGAGCCTTAAAATATTTGTCGGAGCACTCACAAATACACAATCTCAATCTATATCTTGGAATCTGTTTCAGACAAGAAATGCAATATGGAATTCCCCGAAAGTTATTGCTTAAAAATTGCTCTATTTCATTTTCTTGAAACAAACCTCTTTTATTCATTTACTTTATCTATATCTTACAAGGCGACGATTCATGTCGGAAAAATATTCTTTTTATTCGATTTGGAATGATTTACTCCGTAATATTTATTTCTAAACGTTTGTTAATGTCTGTTCCGAGAAAACAAGTGTCTTAATGAAAGGAACATACAAACTGAAATGAGCACTCTTTAAGAAATGTTCAAGTCCTAAGTGTAAACCAATAGTTATGTACATTGTATAAAAAAATAGTTTCATCTTTATTCTCATGAACTCATGATGTAAGAAGTATGTTATTTGCATTTCAGATATCCTTAACAAGTCTCTTATTTTGCCAGTTTATGTCGCAATTACAACAACAACGGAATATTTTGTTATGAAAATGGCGACAAAGCTGTAATTGTAGGCTCCGTTTATTCCACAGTGAAAGCAGATCATAAGATAGCTTCTATATTAGGCCAGGCAAAGAAAAAATAAAAATCGAAAATTGAACAAACCCTTTCATTACTTTTCTTATCCGTGTTGCCGCCCCACAAAAGACCAATCATCCGTGACCTTGAAATTTGCCAATCTGCATGAATGATGCCCCAGAAAGGTCCCACTGAAGAATGAAGTCGATAGTGATCATCTTCGATTGATGACGTCACGTCCGCCCACTCTGCCACTGTGTGAAACACCAATTAAAGTAGTTCAATAATGATTAGTTTGGTCA